TTCCCGTCCAGGTGCGTCAACAAGATTCGAACTTCAGCCTTCTGCGAGCAACGAACCCAGCACCTAGGTGAAGACGGCTGACTTACAGGCGGCGATGAGCAGGACAGAACTTCGGTGATGGTTCTCAGGCAGGCGACTCCAGGCGGCGGATTTCAGGCGGAAGGCGGCTCCAGCGACGAACCAATCGGCGAGCGATGACATCCCTGCAACAGCGTAGAACCAGATAGCGTCCCAGCGGCGTCAATCTCTAGACTCTAGCGACCTTCAAGGACCTTGAATCGACGGCGTACGGCGGCGGTGTGGCTCCAGACGGCGGAATCCGGCGAGTACTTCCCTGCCACAGCCTGCTTCCAACTGCTATCAGGTCAGGCGAAGATTCAGCGAGTGTCCAGCGACCTCCAGGACCTCAAATCGACGGATGGCGGTGGTCGGCAGCAGACGGCGGTGGACGGCGGTGGACGGCGGAATCCGGCTCTAATACCACTGTTGGGTGTCGATTCCTTTCCGGCTCAGGTCTCCAACCCCCTTGCTATACTCTCACACACCACCCTAGGCTAGACCACAACACAACTCCAAGCTTCTTCTCTACCACTAAGGTATTCTCTCTCACACTCTCACACAAAGGAAATGGAGAAGAAGAAGGGCACTGCTATCTCTAGTTTTCACGCAGGCTGCTCTCTCAAGGAAGAAGAAGAGCTACATAAATAATAGGCTTGCCAACAAGAGGACACTCACGGGTGATGCAAAGACAAGGAAAGACTGCAGCAGACAACTCAAGATGGGGTCACTCCACATAAGGCAATAGCCATAATATTGGTTAGGAAAGATTCAAACAAGAGGTGCCAAAGTGGGAGTAAACATGGGGTGCAAGTCAATAATAAAGTGGAAGGGAGGCCTTGGTAGGACCAATACCTCCAACATTCTTCTACGATTAAGAGTAGTTTAACATTTTATATGTTAATTTATTTTTAATGTTTTTTTGATGTGGGAAAGGTAAATGAATGGGAACCCGAACTCCAACAGTCTATTTTTAATAATGAGTGTTAGTTAAAACAACCAAACGATTCATAATCACCGAAGTGAAGCTATCCAAGAAAACTTCTTACCCAACGGGCAAAGTTAGATACTAGAATAGGCTTAAATAAATCAGACTAAACCAGGTTAGATTTTGATAGCTCTAAAATACATAGAGAGTACAGAGTAGACATTTACCAGATCAGATCGGTTTAGACCAGACTAGAATTAAACGGATCAGACTAGACTAAACAAAATAAAATCGGGATAAGGGTCAGTTTGGTCCTCGAAGTTGCAAAAAAAGAGTCAAATAAGTCCTTATATAGAAGATTCTGTCCGGAAGTGCCATTTGAGGTGGCTCCCAGTGGAATTTTTTGATGAATTTTTTTGAGCATCTTATTCATTAAGTCTAGTTTACATATATCAAATTTCAGATACAAATTCAATCGGGAAGACATTCAAATGAATTCTTGAAGATAATTGTGCCGTTAAAAGCGCAGTTATCTTCAAGAATTCATTTGAATGTCTTTCCGATTAAATGTTTAGCTATCCGGACATGAATAGTTTTGTATTTCTGTTTTTATTGGTCAAATATGATATTGTACGCAAATCAACTTAGTTTTAAGGGAAACATTTTCCAACAGTTTTTTTTCTCACGAAAATACATTTTACTTTTAAATAATTTTGAAAATGAATATTTTACCGTTACAAATTGACCTAATTTCCTGTTCAATGGAACGCAAATACAGCCGAATTGTGATGGTAAAGATGTGCTTTACTTTGAGTGTGATAGAATGGAATTCATCCTACATCTTCCTTTTGAGACAAAAAATGAAAACAAATATTGTTACTTAATTTGTTAAAGTAATCAAAGGAAAAGAAATAATTTCATAGACATGAGAACTGGAACAAACGACTTTTTTACAACTCATTCGAACTGTTCAAGTGTTCAACCATATAAAGGCTAATGAGCTAGATGTCATTCACTCATTCGTGTTCAATGTATGTTCTTTGAAAATATCTTCCTCTTTACCATAGGATTAAGCTTAATGGTAGATTGTAACATGTAAGTGAAGTTATATTATTGCTATCGTCTATGCATCCAAACATGTATTTATAATTTGATACACCAATATCACCGTGTATGTGTATAAATCTAATATTCATCTTTTAAAGGAAAATATTCATATAAATATATTTTCCAATTTCCATCGATGCGTAGAATACTAGAATTCTACCTAAAATTTGAAAAGGGAAAATTGTACTTAATGTTCTCTCATTTATCACAATCTAAACAGTGGAATAAATTGCAGGTTTAGTCAATTTTGTCATTAATAAAATAGCAAATTGTATTTTTTACCATAAAATATCATTCCTTAAATGTGAAAATATGTTTAAATATGTTCCTCAGTTTTTGCATCATATAGTAAATATAGTCTATGTCCTTCATAATATAGACATAAAATTTGTTAAATTAAGTATTCACTTCAATTATAATCACTGCAATTAGTGACCATCGTCAACGTTGACTAGTGATCACAGTCAGCTAGTGACTACCGCAAGCCACAGTAACTACTGCTGGACAATTACAATTACAATCGTCCATTAACCATCGTCCCACCCCGTCCAGGGCCCGTTGCCCTGCCCCTTTCGAGCACCGCCCGCTCCCCAACCCCAACCACCTCTCTAGTCCCAACCTCGATCCTGTGAAATAATGGGAAAGGTTACCCAATAGGATACCTGGCAGATATATTTATAATAATAAAAGTTTCCAAAGATACAAAGGATTCCTAATTTAATATTAGGCTATTTCACCCCTTCAAACTGTGCGGGAGATACAACGCGCAGGTTGTTCTTAAAAAATGAAATTGCTGACTAGAGAGACTCTTAGTAAAAATATCTGCCAGCTGAAGACTAATAGGAACATATTTAACGACAAGATCACCATGAGCCACACGTTCACGAACAAAGTGATAATCTATCTGAATATGCTTACTCCGAGCATGCTGAACAAGATTGGTTGTCAAGTAGGAAGCAGAGATGTTGTCACAAAATAGACGTACCGGTGCTGTAACTGGAAAACCGAGTTCGAAAAGGATGGACCCTCTGTTCAGCCTCTAACAGGCTCCGATGAAGAATGTTTGGTGGAAAATTACTCCTTGAATAAGATATGAGAATACTGTGTATGTGTAAAACTGTAAATTAAAACGATTCCGTAAATAAAAAATAGCACTCGTAGAAATTTAGAAGGTAGGCAAAAAGATGAAAGATTGGCTTGAGAGTCAAGATTTGAGTTATTCACTTTTGCACTGTTGGTCGATTAGTCCAGCCGGACCAGGCGGAATTGCAAATCACCCCTTCTTTTTTTTTTTTACCCCGGAAGGTCCCTCCTCCTCCTCCTCCTCCTCCTCCTCCTCCTCCTCCTCCTCCTCCTCCTCCTCCTCCTCCTCCTCCTCCTCCTCCTCCTCCTCCTCCTCCTCCTCCTCCTCCTCCTCCTCCTCCTCCTCCTCCTCCTCCTCCCCCCCCTTCCTTCTTCCTTCTTCCTTCTTCTTCTTCTTCTTCTTCTTCTTCTTCTTCTTCAATATGTGCTGCTGGCGACTGTTTGCACTTTGCACTTTGCACAACAGGCCATCAACGGACAAGATATGGCAAAGGAGGTCAATTTGTAAAGGGTGATTCTAAATGCAGCCCCTATTTTACTAAACACAGCCCCAAATATAATAAAATGCCTATTATATCCCTATTATTGTATCAACATCAACCCTCTTTGAAGTCTCTCTAATAACCCGTCACCATTTCGAGTGACCAGATCGGACTGAAGTTGAAAATCATTCCAACCCTGTTAATTCTTCTAGCACTTCCAAACTATTACAAGGAAGAAACATTATGTCCAGCTCATTTGTTTGGATATGTAGGAATCAAACAAAATATTTTAAGCATTGATATTATTCGGTGATGGTGGAGCAATTAATAGCAGAGCAGCTGCAATATTGCAAATTTGCAATTTCACGGCTCACCTTTCAGCCACCTCACCGCCGCCCCAATATTCGGTGATGGTGACCACGTTCCTTACATCCGCCTTCTTCAACCCCCACCTCCTCCCGTCCTCCTATGGATCGATACTTGTTCAAGGAGTTATTTTCCGGTCACAAAAGATATACTCATACATATGGAGTAATAGACAATTTTCGGATCAACTGAAGGAAATCAATGGAAGTTAAATCAGTTCTTGTGATTTCCTTTAACAACCATTCTTCTCATATGTGTTTCTTTTCCACTTTTGTTTTTGGAAGTCTATTTTGATAAATACGGAGTATGTCGTTTCAATCATATGAGGCAATGAGTCTAAAATTAAGTAAACAATTGTTTGTAAGTGTGTAGATTGGATGTCTTATTCAAGATGACCAGATGAATGAGTGGTAGGAGGCTGTTCATATGGATTGATTTAACCGAGAGGGTAATATAGGTATTTAAAAAAATTGCTTACGTTAGGGGCTGTGAATAGTTAAATATGGTTTGCAAATAGAATTTCCCATTAGTAAATTAAAATACATATTTATACAATAAAAATATCAAAAAAATTGGGCCCCTAAAATTTCAACTTTTTTGGGGCCCTGAGGCCCATGTCTCATCTGCCTCAAGGTAAGCACGACCCTGTCGACCGATCTGGTGCAACTTGGAGCAAGGAGGGGACGAGTGATCTAGAGAAGGAAGGGAGAATAATGACAAATATATAACTGAAATAAAGTTAATGACACATATGACTTTTATATTTTAGGGACTATTGTTTTAATTTTAGTGATTATAATTGTATTCAACTTTACATTATATAGATTATGCATATTAACTATACTAATATTTTTATTCATAACTTTTATTTCAATAATATTTAAGGAAAACAATAACATTATTTTTATCTTTTTCTAGAAAACATAGATACTCTAAACGTTAGAGTAGACAACAAATATTCCTTCGAAAGTATGTGTCGTTAAACTATTTGGCACATGACGTGTCAACAAAGTCATACTAAACGTTCAACACTTCACCGAAGCGATTCATTTCCGACCAACAAAAAGTCCGCCTCGTTTAACACTCCAGACACGTGACACTCCTCTCTTCACCGCCGGCGACACCGCATTGCTGAATTCTCCCAACCGCCGGGCACTAACCTCGTCCCGACCATCTCCCAATCTCGTGCTATGAGCGCCATAGCTCAGCTAATTGCAGTAGGGAAGCCTAGCCCTAGCTTGACTCCATCTTCGACGCCTTCTTCCGCGACGAAGCTCCGATTCGGGTCCTTTCTCTCAGTCGGACCTGCCCGCGGTTCCAGAGCTTTGGATGTGGATCGCCCTATTTTCTGCAATGGACTGCGTCCTGGGCTCCGACCCGGCCCTGTTTGCAGGAAGAGTCTGGGGAAGAGGTCTCTGTTTTCATGTGCTGCTTCTACTGATGAACCGGTGAGCATTCTGTTACAATAATTTTCTTTATGTATTTAAAAAATAATAATCTAAATGCAATATGGCATTATACAGTTTTGAAATTTTTAATATATGTAGTTCCATTGTAAATAATATAACCTCACATGAAAAGTAGCCAAGCTGTGTTAGAAAATACTAAGTAGTTTTTTTTTTCTTTTTAAATTTGTGTTCTTTTTTAGTGTTAGTCGTTCATGTTAACTAGTTTGAACGAGTAAGAAGAGTTTCTTCTTTGTTTTTTCGGATAGTATTGCACATAAGTTTATGTAATGCTGTGCCTAACCAACAGAATAGGGAAGCTATCGTTTATCTAATTATATACATATATCTTTTTCATCCACGAATTCACAGTATATGCCCATTTGTATAAATTTTTATGTATATGTTTATGCAAAAATCTTTTTTGAAGTACTTTTTGTTAGTTTGAGACTTTGAGCGTGACATGAAAGTAGGAGTTCAATGCAGATGCCAAAAATAGATAATGTTGAGCGAAATGATGATATGACTATTCACTAGGTTTGTTAATGGTGCTAATAAGGTTTGAAGCCATAATCCATGAGTTGGGTTTATGTTTTTTCTCGATTTGTGCGTGTCATCCTTGCGCAGGGGCCATGCTAATCTTCTCTGTATCGTTCCAATTTTATCGGATGTCCCCGAAGGGACGAGTTGGGTTTATGTAATGGTGCACTTTTCTTACAGTCTAACGCTTGGTGTGTTGTGTAGTTTATATGTTTTATAGTTTGCTTGGTTTATTGTCATGAATTAAAATTTCATGTTGTCTATTCAGGAGCCTGTAGAAATTAATGTTGAAGTGGAAAAGGGCAGCCTTAAAACAGATGAAGAGAAAACACAAGATGTCTGGGAAAGGAGCTTAGGTTATATAAGAGAACAAGCCATAAAAATGCGGAATCTATCACCAGAAGCATATGATGAATATTCCAAGAAGGCCATCAGCATTTTGAAAGAAACTTCAGAAAAAATAGAGGCTCAATCCAAGAAAGCAAGAAGTGATTTGAGCATGATTGCAAAGGAAATAAGCAAGGAAAGTAAAGAATATTTTGCTAAAGCTTCTGAAAATTCTCCTGAACCTGTAAAGGATATTGTTGAAACATTTGCTTCATCAACTAATGAACTGAATGATGCCTCGAAAATTCGTGACTTTCACCTTGGAATACCATATGGTATGTAGACAGTAGTCATATGCCTTAATTTTGTTTAAATGCGTCATTTTAGCACACAGAACATTGTATTCATCTTAGATAAATTATTACATGCTGTTATGGTTTCCTTATTGAATTTTTCATCCTTAATCCTTTGCCAGGTGCTCTTCTTTCTGTCACCGGGTTTTTGTACTTCATGCTGACAGGAAGCATCAATGCCATCCGGTTTGGGGTTATACTTGGTGGTACACTTTTGGCCTTGAGTATCTCAAATCTAAGATGTTGGAGAAAGGGAGAATCAACTTCTCTCGCTTTAAGAGGAGAGACAGGTTTGTATTTCATTGTGTTATAGTGGCTGTGTTGCCATAGGAGTCTTTTATTTACATTCTCTCCCATACCTCTGCTACAATATTCTCCCTCTTATATCTGCAAGAGTTATCATTTTTTTCTGGGACTCGCTCTATGTTATACTAAACCATCACCAATTACCCATAGTTTAAGGACCTGTTCATTTGGAGAGAAAGTGTTTTTTTATTATTACTCCCTCCGTCCCATTTTACCTGTCCTACTTTCCTTTTCGGGTTGTCCCAAAATAAGTGTCTTCTTTCCTTTTTTGGAAAGAAATTTGTGGCCTACACCATTTCACTTTATTATACTCAAGCCTCAACCACAAATTTTACTTTTTCAACCACTTCATTAATAACCGTGGCAAGTCAAACTAAGACACATAAAATGGGACGGAGGTAGTATTATTTAATACTACGTATATTGGTTTAGTTTAGTTTGTCCATCTAAGTCAGGTTTGATTTAGACTTTCTTGTCTGATCTGGATTAGTTCCGAAATAAGTTCAATTGAATTCCTAATTTTCAGTGTTTGAGTCTTCACTATATACTCTGTAACCCAGTTTTGTTTTACTGACCCTGTGAGGCTGTGAGTCTTGGGTTAGTTGGATATTTCATAGTGGTGTTTATTGGTTTGTTTTGTTTTTGCAGCAATAGCTACAATTTTGTTTCTAAGAGAACTGCGCCTACTGTTTCAGGTAAAATGGTTATTGTCCCCCGTTAATCCTTGCTCTAGAGTATTTTAACTATTAACTGATATGAGTAATTCTTTGGTTAATTGTGCCTCGCCTGGTGTGTAAATCTAATCTTGTATCGTTATGATTTGCAGAGTGGATTCTATGTCAACTTTTTTACAACCTTAATCAGGTTACAATTCTTCTATACTTTCATGATTATCATGTACTCCCGTACTATACTAAGCGACACTTGTTTCGTAACCTAATTGATAAAGTTCATGTAGACACAGTTAGCGGTTATTTATGATAAACAGGTCATAAACTAATTGTGAGATGTTAGTTTGTCGGACAAATTGACAGTTAACTTTGTTCCCTGCAGTGGCTGCATGGCAGCATTCTTTGCAAGCAGGATGTTGATAAGCGATGACGAGCAAATCAAGGGCGCAGAAAATTGATGGTTATGAAAGGTTAAATAAGTTTCAGTTACTACTTACTACATACGTAGTACTACATATGTTTTTTGGGCTTCATTCCTTTTCTTTTGTTCTACAAAAGCTTATAAGTTATAAAATGTCCATATTCCTTAATTTCAGGGCCAGCTCAGCAGTGTTCATTGCAATGACATATCGAAATCATTCTTCGTGAGAAACCATCTTTTAGATCACATGCCATCATTCTTTGTATTAAACCATAAAATGATGTAATGATTTAAGAACTGTAATAAGTTTCCCTGCCCGCATTGGGAGGAATACCCTTCCATGTCATTAATTCCTGTTTATGTTGTGCCCAAGCAGAGTTTCATCATGCATGCATTGGCATTTAGCAATGGTGTGTTTCCAAAAACTCCTACGATTAAGTTGCCGCGTTTCATCTAGGAATGTCTCTCCATATTACATTCTCATTTTCATAAATGCAAAATTATTAAGAAGAAAACATTAATACTCGAAGGTTGAATAACAAGAGTTTGATAGTCTGGACATGTTTACGGTTAGGGATGGACTCGGGCCGGGCGGCCCGCCCCGGAACCGGCCCGGACCGGTCACTGTTTGAACCGGCCCGGCCGGTTCGGGCCCGGAAAATTTATTTATTTTTTGAATTTTTTTTAAGTTTTTGGGTTGGGCTGGGTATTTTGGGCCAATTGAGGTGGCTTGGGGTGGTTTGGGGGTGAGGGTGGAGGTTGGGAGTTGATTAGGAGAAGCCAAAAAAAAAAAGATTGGACTGAGGCCCGGCCCGGCCCGAACCGGACCCGGGGGTTACCCGGTCCGGTTCCGGGCCTCCCATATCCTGAACCGTGAACCGGCCGGGCCCAGGCCCGAACCGGCCCGAGGCCATGCCTATTTACAGTATGGAGATACAGATTTAGTCTTGCACCCTTTGCCGGCAGGAATGAATCCAGTTCCAAGTTCCAACAGGGATCATCCGGCTCTGGAATTGGGCTGGTAAACCACCACAATTGGTGTCTGTTTTCTAGACATCTAGTTCTGAGCCGGAACCGTTGCTTGAACCTGGTCGGAAGGCAGAACAGCTTTAAACCCCAGCTTTTTCAAAATGAGACTGGAATCTACTTTTTTTAAAAACTGTTTTTTGGAAGAAAGCCTAAATCCAAACTAGAACTGACTCATAATTAGAGCTGGTTGACTGGAATGAGGTTTAAATTCCATGCCTACTTACTAAGTTGCTAAGGTATACAACGAAATACTACAATAAGAGTGAACCATGAATAGTATATACATATGGTGACATGGCCGTATATATGGCCATATACATCGCCATATGGCCATATAATTGTTTTATAGTAAAATTTGGATTACTCTGTCCTAGGTTTAGTAAGTCCTATTTTTAGGAGGGGGGCAAAATCTTGGCAAAATATGTTACAATTAATCTTATTTTTGGAGTTTCTTCTGGGATATCCCCGTATTTTGTCTAAAGAGAAGACATCATTACATGCAAATTTCCTATCTACCTAGCTTACTGGAGCTTAATGGATGTCCTACGGATTACATACGTATACATGCGTAGACATCTTTTGTCCATTAAATGGAACATTTTATCCAAGAAGGCAGTGGCATATCTGCTGCTAAAAGGAGGATGGACCTTGAGCTTAAAAAGAGAGGGTTTGGTTCTGGATCAGCAACGGAGGACATGTCTCTTTACACCACCAAGTAACACCACCGTGTGAGCCACCATTCAGCTGCGACGGGAGGAGCTTGATACTCAGAAGTTTCCCTGAGAGACAATGTGGTTGGGGACCTCCCCTTGATTGTCTAAGGGCATGTACTGCGCCATGATGGCACGAATCTCTGAATCCATGTACCTCTGCAGAGAGGGGACATTTTTAATCCAAATGGAATCAATAGATTAACAAAATGAATGCATGTGATATCTAACTCTGTTCAATAGCCAAAAGTGCGTATTCTCCTTATCGGCGTAGAAAACCAGTACACGAAAGACTCATAGCCCGTTTGGTAAGCTTGAATGAGCCAAGCTGAAAGACTGAAAATTCTGCCAATAATCACCAAACGACCCATGATTTGGCTGATTCTGCCTATAATAATTTATAGGCAAAAATGAGCCGTACCCTTGACTTTTGTGGCTGATTTAAGCTCAAATGACACAACTCCCAATTCTTTATACAATTATACTGTCTCAAACTAAGAGTTTATCAAGTCTCCTTTCACATGATTACACAGTAAATCAATTATTCAAGCCAAAAAATCACCAAACACCCTTTATACTTCAACCAATTAAGTTCATCAACCATTCCAGTCATTTCAAAAACCATCCAGCGGGCTCTTAGAGCCTGTTTGGTAGGCAATAGTGGCTTGGTCTTCTTACCTTTGTACTAATGAAAATAAGTCAAATAAGCTTTTGACTTGATTATTTTCCTGAAATGGATTCTACAAAACGCTTTTACTTTTAGAAAATTCAGCATGTCAGCCAAATAACTATTACTAAACAGGCTCTATGATGCATGAAACTGAAGGGGAATTGTCAAATAAGTGAATAAAAAATGTAAGCAACACATACCTGGATTCTGTACTTGTACACAGCATATCCTGCAAGTCCCGCAGCAGCCACTCCAAGTATGATGACCCAAACGGAACCCCAGCTAATCTCGGTATATGCAGCTTTACCTGCTTTCCAGAGATAAAAAATACATTTAAACAAAACCTAATTGAAAATTGAAAGTAGAGCCTAATAAAGAAATTAAAGTGTGCCATGAAGCCCATGATAGTTAATTTAGTTATGGAAGTAGATTGGAATTATAACTGGATATAAATTCAAAGCATTTTTAATGCTAAAAATGAAGCGCATATCAACTGAAAACGCCATTTACACCAAACAAAGACTTTGATGAACTTACTTATACACGTGTCATGCTCAATCATGTATAACAGATTGCCACGACAATTGCATTCATAGCCTCCCCATGTGTTCTTGCATTTACATTCAGGGCATTGACACACTGTTTTCTCCTTGCATTCATCAATATCTGCAAAACAGCCAAAGTTGAAATCAATTGTAATGCATCTCTAAACGAATTATTACAATTTATAACCTTCAAAATCTATGGATTAGGCTCAAGTGCAAGGAACATTGTAAAGATTTTTATTGTTAGAACCACAAACGTGACCTTAACTCCACATTAGTATGATATTGTCCGCTTTGGACCAAGCCTGCACGGGTTTGTTTTTCGCCTCCCAAAAGGCTTTACCGCAATGCAGTTGGACATAATTCACATTCCAGATGATTCTCACTTATCACATCACTTATGGTATTTATGACAGAAGCAAATAGTAATAAAATCTACCTTCACAAGTACTAACCCCATCACCTTTGAAACCTGGAGGACAGAGGCAACCCTTTGTGCGGTCCTCCTGAAAAAGGCACAAAAAGAAATTAAGAAACACTCACCACTTTTCTAAAGGGTGAATTAAAAAATATGCAATGTAGCAACAAAAAGCTGCTCACATTGCAAGCAGAATATGTTAGACCATCCCTGGTTTGCTTCCAACAACCCCCATTATTAAGTCGACATCGCAGTGCTCCAGGTGCTATTAAGCCCACAAGAAAGCAAGAGCATTAGACACCACCCCAGTAGTAAGTTGATGAATTATTTAAACTACGTGTTTACCTTCACAATGAGTGTAACCATCACCAACAAATTCCACACCTTGCACAGTGGGACAGCCGCACACCCGCCCACGGAAAGTGTCCTACAGCAGAACTGAACAATGTGAGTGGGGTGTTGATGAAAGCTTCGGAATCCCAACATAAAAGTGTATTATGGGAATTCATATACTACTAGTAGATTACTACCCTGCATGCTGTAATATTAGCATCTTTATCCTCCCAGCATCCACCATTGTTCACTAAGCACTCATTTGTTTGTATATCTGTGAAGAAAATTGAGGAAATAACTTGAAAACACATTTTCATGGCGCAAAGCATTCCTACCTAGTCTAAAGGATAATTACACAAAATGTTGAAATACATACTCTAACTAAATTTATCATATGTAACTTGTTTGGGACTCTCTGTCAGGTTCTTTTGGCAAATATCAATCAAATTAGCTTAAATTTGATTAAAGTGAACTTAATTTTTGGGACAGAAAAGATTCTAAGAGTGCAGAAAATTACCATCAGTTAAGCAAATTGACGGCTCTGTTGTTTCCTCAAATCCCGAGCAAATAGCCTTAAGAACGGCTCCTCTGTCCAACTTCCCTACAATTTGTATAGTGAATATTAGTGATTAACAAAATTGGGATTTCTAACAAGTACCCTGTATAAAGTAAGAGAGAGGATACCTCTATACTGTCTGTTGTTTAAAACAATAGTAGGCAACATAGTAACATCTCCACGAGAACCTCTGCCAATCTGAAATTTTAACAAAGAAGTAGAAACTTCACCCGAGGAAGCACAAAGTTATTTACTAAAACTTGAAATTCCATCATAAAATATCAACTTAATAGGTGAAATAGTCCGACATCTTAAAAGTAAATTTGAATATATACATAGATAGTGGTTCGATTGAGTATATCGATCATGGAATCCTTGTGCTCTTTTTGAGTTTTAGTAGGATCGAGTTGCTCATTTGAGCGAATTAGGCTCTCAAAAAGTTCAAGTTAATAGAATGGATAGTCCAATACTCCAAATGTCTTATATATGGCTTTGTCTTTAGATCTAGCCATGTTTAAAAAAACAATTGTAGCTTAGAGATATCAATATTTATTAGAAGGTTCACACCTGTGCTTCCTGTTCTGACTTTAGAACAGGGTTCTCAGTATCTTCCTCAGGATCCCCAACACAATCTTCTATCTGTTTAAGATCAATGCCTATGTTCCATTGCAGTAAACCAAGGTAAAGAATTAGTAATGACTCATATTCCGAATACGGAAATTTTTAATCAGAATATAACATGCATGATATTCATGTAACAGAAAAATCACAATTATGGGAATTATAAATGCACAAATACATCTACATGAGCTATATATATAAAAATAAAGGTCAAACATATCACGAAGTCATATATACACATCATTACGAAGTGTCACTAACATAGATTTTGAAATTAGTTTATAAATCTCTAAGACTCCTGTTCCGTGTGAAATCTGGGAAATGCTACGAAGCAAAAATGGGGAGGAAAATTGTAAGGAGAGAAAGTATAGGTGAAATTTAAAATTTGTTTAAATCAAGAATATGTTGTAGATATATTTGCAAACTCAATTTATTTAAATATTTCTATAACTTAAAGTCTATCAAATCTAAAGATATGTAAAATTTTCAGCAATTAATTAAATCATAATTGCAACAATTTCTTTCCTTGCCACTTTCTGTATTCTAAATATAACATTTAAGTGAAGCGGAATATGACATAGGACAACACAAACACTTGTGCCTACCAGTTAATTGAAAGTCACCTAACAAAGAA